TTTGGTTTTTATTTTTTAAAATGCATGGAGAACAATGAACTAATAAAACAAACATAATAAACTCAACAAAATATATACAGTATATTCCCATGGCATTTAGGGGTTGAAATGACAATAAATTATCTTTTAAAACAGCATTTGGTTTATGAGGGGGTCCCTGGAATTTTTTTTYGCCCTTGTAAGGGGTCCCCAGACCCAAATGGCTTGAGAACCCCTGGTATACAGTATTACCGGTGCAGAGGTGAGGTTGGGATATCTGATGAAAGGGCCTAGAGTGTTTATGTCCATGTTTTCATAGCAGCAGTGTTGAAATTTGGTGCATCACCTCATGTGACAARTAAGTCATAATTCCTAAATAACATCAACATATTATAATACTGCTGTAGAGGTCACCTTGTGTGAAATGGTCAAACCCTTACACTGTGGTATACCAAAATACTGTCATATCGCCCAAGCCTAACCACAATTTAAAATTTGCCTATTTTCTCACAAATTTGAGTTTCCAACACGTCTCCAATTGTAACAGCTGTGTAACATGCTCCCTTATGTTATTATAGTTAATTTCAAGCATCCTTACTTTAACGTCAGATCACATCTGTCTGCAAGCTGTGCGCACACAACCTAGCTTTCCTGCACCTCAAAAAACAAACAGCAGATTCTATTAAAGCAAGTTGTTCTTACTGACAGTGTTGAGTCAGCACAGTTCAAAGTTTCTCCCCAACTGTCRGCGTCAATCTTCATCTTTCTGTCAGAGATACTTCTCTAAGTTCAGTGTAGCTCTCGCTCCCGTTTCAGCCTGATGGGAAATACCTCAAGAGTAACCTCTGTGCTCTGACTGAGTGAAGATCATTCTCCCCAAACCACTCGCCCATCCCACTTTCCATTTCAAGTCATCTCTCCTCTCATCTCTGCTGCTTGCGTGAGGCTGCTGCTAAGTTCCGWGAGTGCTGACTTAAAGGTCTAGAGATTTCCCAGCCTTAGCTGCATCTGCAGTGGGTTTATTAGCACTCCTGACTTCCATCTAATTGGAATCTCACAAATGTATTAACTTCCCAGAGTAAATGTGTATACACATATTGACATCCACGGCTGGTTTAGTCGCTGGATTGTTAGATTTTAAATTAGTTTGGTTAAATGAAATCTGAAGAAAGACTGCCTTTCTCTTGTCGCATGCCCTGAATTTAAATGGATACCAAACAGGAGGATTCTGCTTGAAAAAAAGTCAAGCTACATGTTTGAAAAGGTGGAGTGAACTTTGAACTATAAGTTACGGAGTGATGGGAAGAAGGAATGAAAAGTGACTGATTGGAAAGAAGCGAACTGGTCGATCCATGATATGAGTGCAGGACAAATAAAAGGGATGCCTCCATGAATGATGCATAGCTTTCTCCTTATCTTTATAGTCTTCAGGGCTTTTTAATTATGCAGGTAAACATACACAGGCTGTACAAGTGAGATGAAATGGAATGGAGCGAGGGAGCATGGATGAGTGAAAAGGAAAAGTGAGTCGATTAATGTATGAAAATAGATTGGACTGTGCAGAATGAGGAGTCTGAGGACGAGTGTTTCCAGCATCTGAGTATGTTTGTGTTGCTGATAAGCTTTGGAAATGAAGGGGAGGAAAAGCTGAGCCAAAAGAATGAAGAAGGAAATGTGAGAGACTCCGAAGAAAGATGTGTAATCTGAAAGTTGATAGCTGTCAGCATGTTTGCACTTCACCAGCTTGCCCTCTTTCTTATAGAAATAAATGGACTTTCATTTTCTTCCTTAAAGAGCAGCCTCTCCTGGCCTCGCAGTCACCCTCTGTCAGCTGCCAGGGGCTGCAATGACTCACATTTGATTTTGATTTGAAGTAAAAAGGCATCAAAAGTGAAAATGCTTTGTGAATGGACTGTAAAGAGCAAAACTGTGTGTGTGTGTGAGAGACATCCATAGTGTGTGTGCTGTTTTGTGATGGTTTTGTCTCTTCTCCCACATCATGTGCTTCTTGTCAGCAGTAGGCGATGTGCCTTCTGTGGTTAATAAAGCCATTAATCACATTCGCCGTTTGCCACAAACATGCTACGCTGCACTTGCTGCAAGATATCTCACTCCCCGTGTCTCATGATGGAACCACAGATGCAGCTCACTGGAGTGGAATGGGAAATGTCCCTGCCTGAGTCCACACGTACAGCATTGTGTTTGAAACATACAAAACATACCTCTTGAGATATGTTGACGCCCAGAATCATTAGTTTTATCTTATAGACAAAAGTATTGCAGCTGCTGAATCTGCAGATGTGACAGTAAAGTAAATAAAATCAAATAAATAAGATGATAAATTTAAATAAATGTTCTAGATATTATGAAAATAACACAATTTTGAGAACATTTAAACATTTTTTGGTTGATTAATGCCTTGAATAGTTTGATGCTGCACACGAAAGAGTTGTCACACATTAATCACAAAGTTTATGGTTTCATGCCCTTAGTTTAAGGCAGGAGTGTCAAATTAATTTTCACCCTGAGGGCCAGGTGAGCGTTACAGTGGCCCTTAAGGGGCCAGTTGTAAATAACTTCAGCATCTCATGTTTAACTTTGACTAAAAACAGGAAATGTCACGTTTTTGTCTCATTGTTACGGTTGAACATAACAACTGAGCTCTACCTGGTAGTTCCTGTTCAGAAACAGTGTTTTAACGTGTCCTCATAAACACTGAAAAGTACTACAGGTACAACTGACTAAATGTATTATAAATAATACAGAAAATCTATTAAAAGTAAAAGTAAGTAAGTTTTACTCACTGTTGAGTTGTGGTGAGTAGCTGTCATGTTGAATTCTGAACTCTCCCACTTTCCGACAGGAAATTCTCATGCATTATGAGAGACGTAGTTTATGGTCAATGCTGGCTTTAAGAGACATTAATACGGGGCTTTTCAAATAAATTGCTAAGGGGGCTGCAGTTACTTCAAGCCTACATCTCGGGAGCAGGACAAGTATTATCCTTCACCTTTTAAACGTCTTTATTTTGTTGCATTGAATTATAAATTTTAAGTTTACGTTTAGTTTAAGTTTTGAACTCTCCCTCTTTCATACAGGGAGTTCCCATGCATAATCGACTTACCTCATGAGAGATTTAGTTCATGGTCAATGCTGGCTTTAAAACAGCTTCTTTTGAGATATTAATATTATTTAATAAAATTCCTCAGTGGGCCACATTTCCTTAAAGCCAACAGCTCAGGTGTAGGGCAAGTGTTATTATCCGAAATGCTTTAGTTTTTTATGTTTGTTTGTTCCTTTACAGGTTTTTTTTTTTTTTACATTTTATGGGCAACGAAAGATACAAGATCATTATGCTAAAAGGAAGATTGGGTTGCTGTGGAACAAGAGTTGGAATTTGTTTTTAGGACGTTTTGATAGACTCTTGTTGTGATGTTATTAATCAAAATGAGTCACTAAATCAACTACAAAACAAATGTTTTAGCCCTAACATCTTGTTTGTTCATGCTTCTGAAGTTTGATGGCTGTTGACTGTGCAGAAATTAAAGCCTGTTTTTTGTGTTTACATGCAGGTGTACTTGCACCTATAAATCTTAAAGGTGCTGTCTTTGTTGCTTATAAAAGCAGCAGCAGTAGCATGTAGAGCAGTCAGGTGCTTTCCAGCATGCAGAGTCACGCTCGAGTCGCCGCACTAACTAATGTGCTCTTATTTAGCCATCAATCCTCTTTAGCTGATGTCAGCCAGTTTTTCACAGCTCAATTGTCATACATAGGCAATGAGAGATCGTCAGTCATCTAATGTCACCTTTCACCAGTGAAATTGGTGAATGGCTGATAGAAATTTAGGAGTTGGCTCGGTGTTCCTATTTGCAAGTTTCTCCCAATATTCTGAATTCTAACATAAACTGAAGCTGTTCACTGTGTTCACAACTGATCATGTGTTAAATTTAAAGAAAATTTAATTTTGATCATTAAAAGCCTTGTGTTTGTCTTTCAAATCATCAAATTAAGTAATTCCAACCAGCTTGTATAGTCCTTGCCAAAACCCGGGTTAGTTGAACACAATAAAAATGTAAAAGATGTTGAGAGTCGAGTTTCATTCACYTATGCATTTTTATAGTAAAGGTTTAGAAATGCTAGCCTTGCAGATTTTCGGTGCATACTGAAACACTAATTGCAGCAGATTACAGCTCTCTGTCTCTGCCTTTCAGTGCTGCTCTTTTGTTTCCACCTGCATGTATTGCAAGCATACTATCCTCATCATTCACTCTGCTGGATGCAATCGGACTCCTCTGTTTGATTTCTGCCCTTTACTTTCTGCCACGCTGAGCCTTTACCTGCTTTTCCATCTCCTCCACTTGTTATATATTCAATTTATTTTGCCTGTCAACAACACAAACGACATTGACAACAAACTGTTTTTTTTTCTTTATTCTCTCCGTCTCCAGACTTAAACTTCCAGTACTTTTGGAAGTGGAGTGCGTTTGAGGACTACCTCCTCTTCTGTTTTGGCTTCACCGTGCTGTGTGCCGTGGTCACCCTGCTGCTGCTGGACTCGGCCGTGTTTGTGGAGACCCTGGGCTCTCTGGCCGTGTTGTTTGAAGCCATGCTTGGCGTCCCACAGCTGCTGCAAAACTTCCACAACCACTCCACCAGAGGAATGAGGTATGACTCATTGTGCTTCTCAACCAAGATCAGGATAAAACTCAGAGGTCAATCAGTCACACTGGTACACAGATGCAGTCATGCTGTGTTACAGTACATGATCTGAAGATGCTCACTGACATCATATGGCCAAAAAAACCAACAAAAAGCAAGTGAGTCATTGATTGAGTTACTTACCAGTTAGTTTACTGATCGCTCTGAGTAAATTTCCTGGGATATCTGATGCTATCATTACAAATTAAAGATCAAGTTGAATGAAGCGATGGAGCGGAAAGTGAAGCAGAGTGAGACACAGAGGCTGTGTCTCAATTCATGGGTTGTAGACAGAGGTCGACGTAGGCCACATTCTACATGGCTCGTGTCGGCTGCAAAAACAGCTGTGAAATGAGACGGTTTAGTCTACAGAAGACACATGTTTGCGTGACCACGCGCTGCCGCGAAACATCATTTCATTTGTTTTTTCAAGGTATAACTTCATAAAATACTATTTTATTAGAAAAATGTTCAAATAAATAAATAAAAAGCATTAATAATTTGATTGTAGATCCAGTATAAGTATACTTGTAACAACATTTTATTTAGCATCTCATTGCAACAAAACTTTCTTCAGCTAAGTTGCTAAACTTACATCTTTTGGTCCGTGATACATTTCCAAATTCCACCGTTAAAAATAAAAAAAGAGCTGTAAAAATAAAAGAAAGTCCTCCATCATAGATATTCTGTTTAATTTGCTGATGGCGCAGTGAATTCTGAGATACTGTCGGCTGCGTAGGATACTCAGATGCAGCCTTCCTTTTCGGGGTTCTGTCGGCTGCATGAGTAGCCCACGACTTTGGACGGCCCACGGCRCGGGGCCGTGACGCAAGCAGCCGACAAATGCCCCCCACGTCGGCTGCAACCCATGAATTGAGACCCAGACAAAGAAAGCTGTAGCTTTCAGTAGGAATGTTTCTCCTGTTACACTTAAATTGGAATGTGTAAAGGTCAGTGTGTAAACTGATTATGCTTCATCAGGTCAATCACGTCCTTGATACAAAATCCAATGCTGATTATCATTATTTCCTCATTATATTCCTCATCTGTTGTCAGCATAGCTGCATGCATGTTTGTGTAAATTTCATGCTTTGCTTGTCATGCATCTGCGAGGAAAGGCCAAATGAAATTAAAGAAATTTGTTGCTTATTTCTGTTTTCATTATAAAAAATCAGACACGAGTTGAAATAAAAAAAAAAAACTAAGGAGAACTGGGGGCTAAAATTCAGATGCTCTGAAATTTAACTAGTAGAGAAATCATTCATTTTGTTCTTTCTTCCCTGTAAGTGACAGACCTTTTTTTACAGTATTGTTTGACACAATGACAAGTGACAGAGATGTCATCAGCTATGGATGTACATTCACCTCAGACTGCAGTCTTCTCTGCATATCCCCGAGTCATCTTCGGGTCACCCTTCATGTTTCGTCTGAATTAAATCCCTGCACACATTTTTCAAACAAGAAATATATGAAGCAATAATGTAGTTATGACTTACTGCTCCATCTTGGTTTTATACCACATTTAACATGTCCTCGGGGTGAGCATCTGGGCCTCCTCTTCTGATCAGTGCCAGTTGAGCTGAGAGTTAATATCACAGCAAGATTAAATAGGCAATAACCCTGCATTAGGTCTTTCAGATGAATGGTAATTAGGTTTGGACCATCACTTTTATAAAATCTACATATATAACCACCATCAACAAACAAATAATCTAAAAAAAGTTTTCTTTTGTATTTATTTATTATAAAATAATTATTGCTGTATGCTGCAACTTCTCCTGAAAATATAATTTTAACTTAAATATTTTCAACCCTCTGCTAATAGGAAACAAGACAATTATCCCAATTACTTAACAGTCCTTGTTAAAGCATATTTCCTCTGCTTCTTCTTGTGTCATTTCATGCGAAACTTTTTTATGATGCTTTAGAGGTCTGCATCATTTAATAAAGCTTACTTTGTTCAGGGAGTCCATGTTGCGCAAAAGAAAAGACATCAAACCTAATGTTCAATCAAACTGCATCACCACTATTGACACTTTTTCATTATACACACACATTTACACTCATACTACCCCTCCTGGGAAATCACAGATGGGGTTTAGAGTTTATTGAAAGATGAAGTAAAAAACAAAGAGAAGTTTGAATGAAGTGTGTAGAACCTGACTGGTGAGAACGTACAGGTCTACAGAAGACAAGAGGTATCAGTAGAATTGTCAGCATGGATGAGGCCCTGAGCCGCTGATCAATCTACCTCTGACTTCCCATCACTTGTAAACAAGCCTTTGAGATACAGTCAATCATAAATAACATTTTTATAATTTTTGCTACACACACATTGTTCTCTATGACAGGTGACAATCAGGAAAGCTGATTAAACTCATGAGTTAAAATCTAATAAGGTTCAGCTCAATTTTTATGAGGTAAAAAACAATAATCCATCATTTAGAGTAGCTGTTGACGAGTGGAAACTAAAAGTTACATATAATCAATAATTGTTCATCTCTATAAAGTGATGTAAATAAGATTTGATGTTTTTCAAATCACAATCTGACAACTATCTGTAAATGATGATTTAAAAGCCCCTTTTACTTCTTTACAATATGCAAATTGTTTTTAGACAAGGTGTTAAGGCRGTTTACAAAGGCATGAAACTTAATTATTACTTATTGTTTCATACTTACATTTTTTAATAAATGGGACTTTGTATTTACATTTCTTAGTAAATTGTTATGATTTTTGTCTGTGTTAAGTGTTTTTAGTTTTAGTTTCTGTCATGTTCATGTTTCCTTCCTCCTGTCTTGCCCTTGCTCCAGCCCCACCCACTCACACCTGATCCTCATGTTTCTCCCTCAGGTGTTTTCTGTTAGTAATTGTTGTCAGTGTATTTAAGCCCAGTCTTGTCACTGTGTCTTTGTCTGATCATTGTTTGTTTGTTGGTATGTCTCCTGCTCTTGTTAGATTCTTGTTATGTCCTGGCTTTCTTGCTCCAGCTTTTTTTGTTAGTTCTCAGTTTTTTGCCACCACATTGGCTTTTTGTTTAATAAATTTTTGTTAAAACTTTCTAGCCTGCCTGTCTGCCTGCAATTGGGTTCACCCTGCCTCACAGCCCTAACATAAATTTCTGAGTTTTTTTATATCAAAACAAAACAGGGCTTATTTGCACAGAATCATATACATCATGTGATTGGAAACATTTTTATTATTGTTTAATGAAGTTTATGACATAATCTCTGTTCACATATCATTCATTGAGCACAACCTTTATTAGGTTTTACATAAGCCTTTGCTTCAGCCCTCTTTGGGTCTGAAAACATTACTCAGGTGGAAGCAGTGTTTGAATAGTTAAGTTGCARTTAGTTTATATGCGAGTGATTGCTCATTGTTCTTTTTATCTCCCTGGGGGTTCTTCTTGTTTTTTTTTTTTTCTTTACCTTCTTATTAAAGTTGGTCCATTTTGCTTCCAGTGCCGTTCTCCTCTCACTGCTGTGCAGAAACATTGCAGACGTCCACAAAGTCCTGAGTGGCAGCGTAGAGGTCACRGTCCATCTGCCTCGCTGTTAGAAATGTAATGTCTGCAAACAAATAAAAGCTTCCTACACTTTCAGGCTTTTTTATAATCTATTTAAACTCAGTTCTCTGTCACCACAACTGTACTCCATGGTGTAATTATAGGGCCTGTCCATGTTCACTTTCTGTCCCCTTTTCTTTTCTTACTCACTGTTTCTCTGACACGTTCGCATCCAGCAGGTCGTTCCTTGTTTTCAGGTCAGGGTAACACCCCTCAGGCTGTAATGCTGGCCCTATTACTGTGTCCCTTCGATAGCAGCTTAATAGTGGTTTCGAGTTTTTCTTGTGGCAGCCATTACATAGAGGCCATTTCAGCCCGTTCCTTTACTTTCACAGTCTGACCCATAGGGACATGCTGCAGACACTGTGGCGACCTTGAAGCAATTTGTGACCCGTGGACCAGAGCAGTATCCCAGAGGGGYCCACACAGTGGGAGGTTGTCAGTAGTTACACATACTGGTACTACCCTGTGATTCAAGATTTGATAGAAAAATAAATATCAAGAGTCTTGAATGTTTATGAGCTTAGATGTTATGATTCCCTTCAACTCTGAAGGCAAATAAAAAAGAAGTAAAGTGTTGTGTTCTGTGTGTCATTTCATGACTGCTCTACTTAAACACTGAGGTTTCATATGATGTAGTTAGTGTTAGATTTGGTAGAGAACTTCCTCAGTTGTGGAGTCTGGGTGAAAATAACRTTTATAATAATTACAAATCCAACAGTGTGAGCTGAAAAATCTTTGTCCAGTTGTAAATTTACTTTTTGTTTTTTTCATTTTTTTATTGTTGCTGCAGAATGAGAACAAAAACACAGTCATGAATCTTGACATTTTCTTTTAGTTCTGCAACACTGGGAGGCTTAGAAAATGACTTCTGTGTTTTTAGTGTCTGTGCAGTGGGGTTGTGTCGATAAATGAATGAATTTAGTATTGTTCCTGGAGGAGACAAAGGAGCTATAAACCAGTTTTTTTTCTTTCTTTATTACAAAATTTATTCATTTGAAATGTCGGGGTCATGGCAGACTCCATCCAATACCCCAGGACTAAACTGTGGCAGGATTATGTTTTAACTCAAAGAACACTTGTTACACATCTCCACTGGTTTCTCTGTAAAACCACTGATGCAACAGTGATAACAGCTTTTTGAATTTCACTTGTCTTTGCTCTTTGACCTTTACCTGCTGATTGAGTTACAGGAGTTTTTCTGCTACTTTTGTGCCAGAAAAGAAACAAACTGTTGAAGCGTTTTTGATATTTTTTTTGTTGTAAAATCTCAGTCATTCATTTTTTGGTTTGTCTGCATTTTATATTAGCCTTACATAATATGGGTTTATGGAGATTTATTTGAATAATCACAGCTGCCTTTTGTTTTGAAGTTAATGCAAAACATATGGAGGTTGGG